AGCGAGCAAGGGCAAAGGGGCAATTTGCCCAACAGGGCTATTAATTTCGTTTCGTCATTTTGCATTAATTCACTATAAACGACAAATCATTTACATTTTTTTTTTAAATCTGCGTTTCGTGAAGTTGATGTTTCTTATTTACAGAAGGTGTATTTTTATGTTTAATGAAAAAGCACTGGATAGATTTTAAGTTTATAATGCTAAAAATTCTTTACGCGTATAAAGCTTTAAATCAATGCATGAGAATGTAATAAGAAAGCCGCATATTTTCAATAGGAGCACAAAGTACCGAAATAAAATAGTTTTGAATGAAGTGATGTTACATAATTTTCTAATAATTCTAAAATTCCCTTTTAGGCTCTTTTGTTTCATAGTTAAATATTGTCTCTTCTAACAGCTTCCGATTTTTAAAATGCAAATTACCTTATTTTTTGTATGCATTACAGCTTTCAAAACAGTACTAACTTAACTGTAGGGTTTTTGGCTTTCATTAAACTATTTTTAGATGGGAATTTTACAAATACAAAGGCTGCTCACACGATGTTTAGAACATTTTTCATTGCATTTAACAAAGCCCTTATTCCTCACCTTTTCTCTACCGTAATTTACAAGACAATAAAGCTTTTTATAATATCGGAAGCGGTACTTTATCGCATTTCTGTGGAACAGCTTTCCAAAGTCCAAGAAACGTTGTAGGTCGACGTCTGGACAGTCTGCTTTTTTAAAGTCCAGAAGTGCAAAACACCATGGGCGATGTATCAGGATATTTTGCAGGGATATGAGTGAAGGATATGTGCTAGATACCCGTTTCCTTTTCCATTTTAGAAATTAACTGGGGATTTTGACGTGTGGTTGTCTGCTTTGTCTTGATGCAGTTCTACTGGTTGATGACAGTGTGGGTAAAGGGAAGGTATCTCATATTTGAAAATTAGATATAAAATAGATGTCTGATAATATATGGAGTTGATTTAGTATTTATCTCCACTCCCTTTACTTTTAATTTGACGTCATATGAAAAACCAACAGCAATCGGTTACAGCCGAAAACATCGCGGACGAAAACGTCGCGGAGAAAACAACGCAAGGCGAAAACGTCGTGCTACAAAACATCGTGGGAGAAAACGTCGCAAAGAGAAAACATTGTAGTTCTAAAACATCGTCGTTGAAAATAAAGCGGTTCAAAAACTTCGCAGTTTAAAAACATCGTCGTCGAAAATATCGTGGTAAAAACAACGCAAGGCGAAAACGTCGTGCTACAAAACATCGTGGGAGAAAACGTCGCAAAGAGAAAACATTGTAGTTCTAAAACATCGTCGTTGAAAATAAAGCGGTTCAAAAACTTCGCAGTTTAAAAACATCGTCGTCGAAAATATCGTGGTAAAAAATAAAGTATCTACAAATCATCGCATGACGATAACATCGCAGACATACTTTTTTCAGGCTTTAATAACTGTAAATGGATATTCCCACAATAATTTGTGAGCGCAAGGTGTAAAGAAGGCTAATTTTTACTTTCATATTTTTCTATTAACTAATAAACTTTTGCTGAAAAAGTAAGAAGGAAACTTAACCATAGAAAATTAAATGCAACTTAATAGATTATACTTTTTATGAAAAATTACCAGTAAAACTTTATAAAAAATTATTTATTAATGGTCTTTGTTAGTTAACTGTGTCGACAAATTCCTACAAGTACCTAGGAGTTGTACTTGATTCAAAATTAACCTGGCGCCTTCACATTGAAAATGTTCTCAACAAAGCGAAAGGTGCTAGAGCCCAACTTTACCCATTTTTAGCTCGAAAGAGCAATCTGTCAATTAAAAACAAAAATCCTTCTCTATACATCCATTATAAGACCTGTCTTATGTATGCATGTACAATCTGGGGTACTGCTGCAAAAACTCATGTGAAAAAAAACTTCAATCTTTTCAAAGTAAAACCTTACGTATGGCCTGAATGCAGCCTGGTACGTCCGTACAGATGTGATTCATTCGGACCTAAATATTAAACCTGTAGATTATCATATTAAAAAGCTTAGTCAAAATTTATTCCTCAAAATTGAACAGATTGATAACCGAGCACTTCAGCAGATCCAGCATATGATCCTGCTATTCGCAGCTCACAGAAGAGACCGAGAGCCGTGATTGGCCGAGAGTTTGGCATCTATCCGCCATCTAAAAGGGCAAGACACGCCCTCTCAACTTCAGTTCCAGCCCCCGCGCCAAGAAGGAAAGACGTCTCTTCAGCAAGCTGCCATATAATTGCTTATTTCATCCTCTGCTACTACTATCAAGATCTTCAAGCAAAGTTATCAATCTGTTTACTTAAGAATCACATCTCCCGCAGATTTCAAATCTGCCTAGAATATTTTCATCGCGATCTCAATAATTATTTGCACTCTCCAACACAAGCCACATGCCAATGAGCCTATTAATCGTAAAATCTTTCCTATCCACTTTTTGCTTTAGTGTTTGTACTGTGTATAAAAAAACCAAAAAAAAGTATTAAATATAAAATACAAAAAAATTTTAAAAAACTTATAAAAAGATTATGATACTTAAGTTTTTATTTCATCTCTATCCTAAACTTTCTTGAGCCTGTGGCTCCCTAGTGTGCATCAAGTAAATCACTTATGCAAAATTTTTCCTATTTCTGCTCGCTTTTAGTAATTCTGATGTGGAGGTAGATGGTTTTGAACCATAGGAACTCCGAAATTTTTAAATCATTGGCATTGGCAACTATGTCGATTTAAAATTCTATCTTATATTTAATAAAAAATATGAAAGTAAAGATTATCCTTCTTTACATCTTATGCTCACAAATCATTATGGGCCCACCAGCGGCCAAGCGGTAAAGTCGCTGAACACTGGTAGTTCGGTCCGAGGTTCGAATCCCGCGAACGGGCTGGCTGCATGGGCGTTTTCGTGGTTTTCCCCATGTGTAACGTGTATACGAGCCAGTTTCCCTTAGAAAGTCCTCCACGAAGGCATCCCTCCCCTTAGGCAGATAGCCCTCGAGGCTTTGCCATAATCACACACACAAATCATTATGGAAATATCCATTTACAGTTATTAAAGCCTGAAAAAACCATGTCTGCGATGTTATCGTCATGCGATGATTTGTAGATACTTTATTTTTTACCACGATATTTTCGACGACGATGTTTTTAAACTGCGAAGTTTTTGAACCGCTTTATTTTCGACCACGATGTTTTAGAACTGGGATGTTTTCTCTTTGCGATGTTTTCTCCCACGATGTTTTGTAGCACGACGTTTTCGCCTTGCGTTGTTTTCTCCGCGAGGTTTTCGTCCGCGATATTTTTGCCGCGATGTTATCGGCGGACACCACAGCAATCATAACCCCCTTTTTAAACCCGTTTCTAGATTCTTTGAAACATGTTTTAAAATTGTTTTCTCCTCTTTGAAGATAATAAATGGAGTTTTTTTAAGATTCAAATCAGTATTAATCACTTCGTTTACAACTGACACGGAGAATTTTAATTATTTTGCAGCTGTCTTTGGGTTGACGGATTGTCTTCTAACATTAAAGATTTCACCTTTGCAGCAGTCGAAAAATATTCCTTTTTTCCTTTATATGTATTTTTCCACTTGAAGCCAAACTTTGACTTTTGTTCTTTCTTATTGGCAACATTACCTATAATAGGTTTAGATATAGAAAGGCCATGGCTCTCACAGACTTTTTTATGAACTACATACGAATAAGCTTCTTCGGAAAGAGCAGAAACATACCCTTACATCCACTGCTTCTTTAAAAATGCAATTTTGCATGAAAGCAATACTGTTAAGCAGCTGACGATAATTTATGCTTCTAAAAATATAGTTGCAAAAGTTAAAACAAAAATTTCCAAACTTTCCAAACCATCTAAAACTGCGCGAACAGCCTTTGTAAGCATTCTTGCAAATTTCCGGGACAGTGTGGTCGTTGGACTGTTTTTTATTGTCACAATGATGCCATTCTAGTTACCATGGATATTGGAGAAATTCTAGGTACTTTTCCCCGAGCAGAATAGATTACAGTATGAGGCCATTGCCTAGGTTTTGAGAAGAGTGTAATACAAATTAAGTCCAGTCACTAATAATTAGTCTACAGCCGCATCTAGTGACGGATTTGAAATAAAAGCAACTGCATGATCACGCTGCATGAGACATAATGTTTAAATAAGAGAATGTTACATAAATTTAAAAGAAAAGAATGCTGAAATGTTAAAAATAAATAATGAAGTTATTAGTTTGACTTCAGTAGACATCCTCTAGTTTTTATACTCTAAATAATCATAATCCAAACTTATTGTTTATATTTTTACTTCTTTTCGACAAATAATTTTTTTAATATCCGAACTGCTTCCTCCAAACGGGCGGTTTTTTTTGTTTTTTTGTTGTTGTTTTTTTTTTTTTTGTGTGTGTGTGTGTGTTTCCTTTTAAGCACATATACACGTTTAGACAGTGCTTGAGCTAACGTCCTTTTGAGGTAAAAATATTTAAAAACAGTATATCTTAAGAATTTCCCACAGACAGTCTCACGCGCTGGAGATAAAAATGCTTTTTGGGAGGGTGTATTGTTGCCGTTGCTTGCTTTGACATCATTGAATTTGTTAAATAAAAATTCGCTAAAGTTTTACAACATATGGAATAGACAATAAGAGACAAAATAGACAATACGATGCAAAATTCCAAATTCGGGTTCCAGGGGCTCATATTCAGATGGAGAACTACGTTATTCAAAATTTGATGGCTCTAGGTACCGTTATTTTTCACGGTGTCAGAAACAAACATACCTTCATGCAGATTCTTCATTATTTAATTTCTTTAAATAAAATATAGGGAGATAATGTTTGATGGCAACAATTTGAAACGTGATTCAACGCAAAATGCCGTTTTGAGACTAGGTAATGCGTCTTTGGGCTAATAACAAAAGAGAAAACAACAAGATTGTATCCTAGTTCCTTTTACAAAGTAAAATAAATGTAAATGTAGTACTTACCCTCTAAAATAAATTTTCTTGACAGACCTCTATCCGAATCCAGTCTGTAATGAAACAAAAGAAATTTGTTAGGAACATAATATCTTATTAAAATGTACTTCATTCTATTTTATTTAGAAAATTATCTTCCTTATTACACGAATGAACGAAATAGTTAGATAGTTGAAGCAATTTCCTAAAATAACGAGCTCATCTGAAAGCAGAAATGCTTACCACAGCTCCAAATCATTAATATTTAAAAATAACGTACCAATATTTAAAAATTATGTATCATTTGGATAGCGAGATATTACAGGAAGTGTTATTTTTTGACAATAATTCTTTGATATACGAATGTATCACAGAATTATCATACTTTGCAAATGGAAATTGCTGACGCATTGCCCAAAACACGAATTTGTTAAATACAAATTTCAAGATTTCAATTTTTAAATGCTTGAAGGTTTTAGGCTTCGTACAAAATATAGAATTATGAAATTTACACGAGTTTTCATCACGGAATCCTCTCTATTTAGATTTAGTGCTGTAACATTTACACTGTGTTTCACAAGCCAAAATCAAAATTACGAAGAATTTTTTAATCTCACATAAATCGCAAAGCTAGATATCTAAAGCAAATAACTAAATAACAATTTGGATTTCAATGTATCAATAAAATTTTATTCTTTTGATTAATAATTTTAAAATACTTATTAAACTTGTCTTTGAAGTGCATAATAATTGTCATAATGAAATAATTAATTAATTCTTCATTTCCCACGTAAAGCTTATGAAACCCTTACATGAATTCAAAGTTATTTTAACATTTATGAGGATGTCAGGTGTTTCACTTCTTTTCGAATAATGTTTCAGACATCTGAATTATTGCCATTTCAATAATTCCCATATCTTGATTTACAGTTTTCTGAAACGTGAGCAGTGTGATAAAGTGTTAATAGCTGGAAATATAACTCTACCTCACCTCCTTTTTAACCAGTTCCGTGCTAAAAATTTACATTAAAGATTGATTTTATAATTATAATTAAGTTAATAATTAATCATTAATCAGTTATGAAATAATAATTAACAATTAACTAAATTTAATTAATCATTCCTTTTCAAAAAAGCAAAGAGTCTTAACGAAAAATAAATAGCTTTGAAACAGTAAATGAGGTTTTTGCGACTACTTCTGAAAACCTCCAGGTTTTCTGATAACATAAATAAACATAAGTATTGAACATCACTCTTTAATACGACTATAAGACCAAAAACTGATACGGCGCTTAGAAAACCGAAAGCATCTGGATCTGCAGGTGGTCGTTTTAGAGACCGTTTCAGCCTTCCCTTAGTAATATAAAGAACACTAAAGGAAAGCTGCTCAGGTTTCTACTCCATTCAACTAGTAATAATATATCTTCTTTTGCCGCCTAACCGGAAGCATATTTCATAAGTGCACATCAGCGTAGCCACTGAGGGAGGGGTTTCGAATATGAACTAATGAGCTGCTATTGCTCTTGTGACGCTAAATCTTCGTGCATGTGAGCATATGTTGTTTGCGTTTTAATTTGCATTTGTTTCGCAGTTATAAATATATGGCGTAATAGTAGAAATCTTGTAGTGCTTTCGTTTTCCGATTTTAATTAATCGCTGATATTTCACTTTCGTGATTTTTATCACGCATTAATATTTGAATTGATGTTCACGGCATATTATGTGGATTAAGAGAATTCAAGTGTATATTTTTTTAATTGAGCTGAGAATGACTGAAGGGTTACAATGAATCTTCTTATTTCAGTGCTTGCATTCTTTTGATTTTTAAACTGTAAGAATCAGAATACATTGATCCATTGCTAACATTAAAAAATTATATGTAAATAAAATGAATATATTCGTGTGAGAAAGAAAATGTTTGATGAGTATTCTTGTGTGTAGGTAGTGTATTTAAGAGAGCGAGCAGTTATTAAATGTGAAATTTAACACACTAAATGTATACGAATGTAAATTAGTTAAAAAAAGTTCGCATTGAATAAAAATTCTGCATTGGTTATTATTATAACACATCTTTTTCATATATAGACTGCAATAAAAGTGCTGACTTCTACTACATATATAATTGATGTAAATATTTTTCTCATACGCATAGTTTTATGTAAAATGCATTTGGGCTCGATGTTTATCACATATTTCTTTCTTCATCTTATTTACCACTTATTAAGTAATATTTCACATCGATATTTTTGCGACGTATCCACATATGTGTTTGGATTTATTTCAACCAGGTAGTGAAATCTTCATAATTGCCTAAATTTGATCTAACTTCGCAATGAAAAGTTTATTTTGTATAGAAAATTGCGTTGTAGAATATTTTCAACCATCTTGCTTAAATCTTAAAGCACGCGAAAGGTCATGTGACATGACAGAAATATTACCGGATCCTCATTGGTCCATCCTAGAAGCCACTCCCTCGGTGGCTACACAGATGTGCACTTGTGAAATATGCTAACCGGAATAGTAGTTAGCGTCGCTGACTGCCGTAACGTAGGGCCGGGTACAAATCCTGGGGAAGGCATGGATGTTTGTAAATGTATAGTGCTGGTACGCCATGGCGGCACTCTAAATATGGGGCGAGCTGGGAAGGCTCTCGTGTAACCATGGACGTAAGAAAGGAAGGAGTGGCCAAATCGGCATTAGAAGTGAAGCACTGCTCCGAAGCTTCGGTCACCAGATGGGGTGTTTTTTGTTTACATTCAGAAGCTGACTTGACAGCGCTCTGATAGTATTTCGACACATGACAGTTCCATACAAATCGAAAAACGGGACACTTCCGAATAAAAGAAACATTCCTAGTATGATGGATAACAGCAATTTGTATGGTTTAGCGACATTTACGCAAAAATCACATTTTGGTTAATTTTCGATAACTAACAACAGCGATTTTGATTATAAATTTGTTTTATAAAATTCTAAGCTGTTGAACTACAAAAATATAGATTTTTAGCAAAAATTTTATGCTTAAAGAATGAAAAATACCTTAAGGTATCTTTAAAATTGTATACATTTTTCGATACCCTTGACAGAGTATTCGCTACTTTTATTTTATGTTCCAAACGCCAAAATGTTTTAAATAAAACACATTTTTTTCACATCCATATATTATTTAACATGTACTTTTAAAAGTTTTTTAGAAGAGAGGGCTTTACTTTAAACTTCATTTTAAAGAAATTTTAAAGAGCTTCATTTTGAAACTCATCATTTTATTTTATATATCTGAAAAATAATCACTTTGGGCTTACACGTTTTACTTAGTTATTATTATTTATTATGATATATCAGAGAATTATTAAAAAACTGCGTAAAATCGATAATAAAGAGGGTATTGAGTGCTCTGCCAAAATATTTACTAGGAGATTTGAAATTTGATGATGAATATATCCTAAAAACGTGTTTTAAGTCAAAAGTTTGAAACTTGATGGCTAAATGCAAATATTATGCATGTTAAAATATACGTGTAATTACGCACATAGGTCAGGTTAAGTTTTTATTAAATAGAGTAAGGCATGTAAGGGCTATCTGCCTAAAGGAAGAGATGCCATCGTGTAGGAATTTGGAAGAAAAACATACCTTTGAGTAAGTATTAAAAATAATGCATATAATTTTCATTCAAATTATATTTATACACATTTCTTATGTAAAACTTTCGGGTATATGCTAAATTATTAAAAATTACTTTATTCGAGAAATGTAGTGAATGCACAAAAATTAAAGATTTGCACATGCCTGAAATGAAAAATATGAAATATGTATGGGTATTTATGCATGTACTTGCAAAAAGCATGTAACTGCTTTAACAAAAACGTAAAATATTTATTAAAATTATTAATAAATGTGTTTGAAATGAAGGATTTATTCATTCATAAACTAGTGAAAGTTACTGTGAAGAAATCTAATTATTAAATGTATCTAAATTTATAATGATTATAATATTATCTCTAAATATATAAATAAAACTTAGCATTGAATTGTAAACATATGAAAAATCCTGTTGACAAATACGTCATGTAAAAATATTCTGATAAGTATAAATTAAAAGAATTAACCTCCTTACATTTTATAACTCAGTTACAAGTTTTAAATAATATTGTTAAAAAAAAAAAATCCTTATTTTATTCCCTTTCAGAAATATTCAGAGAAAGTTAAGTACTATTTAAAGTATTTCGCTATTAAAATAAAGGTTGCTCTAATTTGAAATGAACCGAAAGAGCATTAATTATAAATTGACTTACAGTTTTCCATTAAAAGGATCCTCAGAAGCTAAAATATGCCATATATTTGAAAAGTATTTCAGGAAGAAGCTCCATAAATAGAAAAGGAATAATGCATAATTTTAATATTACAAACACAATAAACTTTGATCTTAATTTTTAACCGAATAAAATAAAATAGAATTACCTTAAAAATTTTTCTAATGTAATTAACGAAAATTTGTGGAAAATATTTCATTCAAATTAAAAACCATTCTAGGCAAACTGTTCTGTGAAAAGTATAGCATTTAATTCCGTTTAGAATGAAATGTTGTTTAAAAATGTATTCTTTTCATATACCTAGGACTCTGAAGCACTGTAGAAAAGAAAAAATACATTTATATGTATATTTACGACGTAATTACAAAAATATTTACATCCGATCGTGCCAAAACCCATTGAACTTAATGGTAAACTACTTAATGTTTTGGTTACCACGTAGGGATCGCAGGCTCAGAGCAGGGTATGGGGAAAACCGGTTAGGGCCACTCCATCTTATTTCCTACCTCCATGATTCTGAGGAGCTATAAAGCTTTCATTAACCTGTGCAGTAAATCATTTTCATCTTCTTAACCTCTATCGTACTGTATAGGTGTTTCATCGACATTTATAAAGATCAAGCGAAGAGAAGCTATTGTCAGAGGTGAGTTACATACCTTGTTATAAAAGAAAAGTTGTTATAAGAATAAAAGAATTCTTAAAACATATTTATTCCATACAAATCGAAAAACGGGACACTTCCGCATAAAAGAAACATTCCTAGT